GAGGCGCCGCAGCGGTAGGGGCAGGGGAGGCAGGGGCGGTGGGGGCGGCAGAGGTGGAGGCGGCGGTGGAGGCGGTGGAGGCGGTGGAGGGGGCGGCGGTGGTGGGGGGAGTGGTGGTGGGGGTGGAGGTGTAGGTAGCGGCGGTGGTGGCGGCAGTGGCGGCGGCAGTGGTGGCGGCAGTGGGAGTGGAGGCAGCGGTAGTAGTGGCGGCCGGGGTGGTACCAGTCAGAGGGGAGGCCTTGGCAGTGGTCAGAGGCAGTAGCACCAGCGTCAGCTTTCGCCCCGGGACCTCCGTGAGTGGTTTGCTCAGCGTGGGGCAACTCGGGGTAGTGGTCCCTGCCCGTATGTCATTCGCATAGGTGACTGCACTAGTTAGACATGCGGGAGGCTCCACACCCAGTACCGCTGCTTCTCTCGTCTTACCGACGCCTTGCGCACAGAGTTTCCCGACGCGGTTGAGCTGTTGGTGCAACCCTACGGTTTGCAGTCGGCTTGTTGTCCGTGTGCGTGCATGCGTGTGTGCATGGAATGGTATGAGGGCATAGGATAATATATATTTCATGCTTATAATAGTGTGTGAATGTTGAGTCATGATGTCGAGTATGTGTGTCGAGACAATAGCGAGTTATCGCTAGTCGCGTGTCACGCGGTCGTTTGTGTCACGTGCGCGGTTTCTATTTTGTCGTGTGTCTCGTGCACGGTTTCTATTTTGTCGTGTGTGTGGAACGTTCGGCGTGTCGCAGGTGTGTGCAGAAGACCCATCAAGAACTCAAGGATGAGTTTGTGGTGAAGAACCAGAGCCTTGGTGTCAAGGCTCAAGTGATCGCGAAGCCCGCGAAAAAGGGTACACCTCAAGATATTGAAGATAGTTACATTTCTTTGTGTAGTGTAACATTTCACTTGGTGTAGGCCCTAGTGAAGGGTAGTTTTGAGACCCTTCGTGGTTGGGGTCAGTGTGGCACTGTTCCACATCACTGTACCTCGGCTCTTGGGGTTTGTAGGAGCTGGGAGTCATTCCCAACTCGTAACTCTTCCTAACTCTTCCTATCGTGTGTTCTAAGACCAAAGTGGCTGCCATAGTGCCGTTCGTTCAAAACCAACAATGTGTCGTCAATACGTTAAGACGCTCCGGATCCAATTTGAATCAGGTCATTTGAAGTTGTGACCAGAACGCTATGAACGTTTAAAGCCGCTGTGCAGAAATCCGACTGTGCACTCTATCTTTCGTTTTAGGCACATTGAAGCCTACTATGACTATAACAAGTGGTATCAGAGCCCCTTGGAGCAGTTTCGACAATGGCTGGGTCTGAGGAAAGGGGTGGCAGAGGTGCTGGTGGCAGTGGAGAAGCCCAAGCACAAGGCCAAGCCCGTGATTCAGCCGTGGCGCCCGTGCAACCAAGTCTTGGCCCATCTAGGGATGAGCCTAGAGTGTTTGGGCTTGACAAGTTCAACGGTGACAACTTTGCTGAGTGGTCCTTTAGAATGGAGAACGTGTTTGACCACTATGACCTGCTGGAGGTGATGGAAGGAACGGAGAAGCGTCCCGAGAACGACTCGGAGAAGAACCCGTGGGTGCGGAAGAGCGCACAAGGCTATCTCCTACTTGTGCAAGCGTTGGGGAGCAGCCAAATCCGTCACATCAAGCCTTTCCAGCGTGAACCAGAGAAGGGACCAAAGGCATGGGCTACTCTCAAGGGTGTACACACTCCTGCAACAGCGGCGGTAGCTGTGGTGTTGGAATGACAAATGGCGACACTACGAATTGAAGAGGATGAAGCGGTTGAAGAAGGGGTGCAGAAACTCTTCGACTTGTTGACGCGACTTGAAGGAGCAGATTTGAGCTATTGTGAGCTCCAGAAGAAAACCAAGTTGCTGGCCCTACTCCCGGAATCGTGGTCCTCGCTCATCATCAACTTGAACCGTGATCTGCCCCGTGTCTCGCTTGAAGACGTGAAGCGCGCGATCCTTCAAGAGGACTTCCGCCGCCGTGAGTTGGCGAGTGCGGATGGCGCTGGGGCAGCGAGCGCCGGCCGCGGATATGGCCGAGGAAGAGGCAGAGCAATGAGAGATGTATACCCTCGGAAGGAGAATCTTTGGGAGATATTCCCTCAGAAGGAGTAGCATTGAAAGATATACTCTCAGACGGAGAAGCAGCAGACATACTTTCGGAGGAAGTATGTTCTGTTTTTGTTTTTCAAAAAAAAAAACTTCCTTTTCCTGTTTGTCTGACTAGAATATGCTCGCATATTTATTCTCTTGTTTTGTGTTTCCCTCACCCAACAGGGATCCGTCTGCATGGCCCCAATCCTTCCCCATCACCATCTGCTGTTTCTCGTACGGTTTCGTCCCTCCTCCTATTCACCCTCTTGCTCACTCTCCTCCACCTCCTCTTCTAATTCCTCCGCTTCCTCCTCTTCTCCTCCCAGTCCCTCCTCTCCCTCATCTCTAGTGTTTGTCGGCACCATCGAATCTTTTGCACAGGGTCTCTCTCTCTCCCCATGGCATCCGCGCACGCTCACTCTCCCTCTCACACTGCCTACACACACGGGGGAACACAGGAGGTTGTTGCGTGCACCAAGCCAGCCTGCTGCTGCTTCTGTGGCGCCGCAAAAAGCTAACCATGCGACACACATGCCTACACACACGGAGGAGCCCAGGAGGTTGTTGCGTGCACCAAGCCAGCCGGCTGCTGCTAGCATGCTGCAGAGAGAAGAGCAGCAGCAGCAATGGCAGCGAAGGCAGCAGCAGCTGGAGCAGGGACAGGAGCAGCAGCAGCACTGGCAGCAGGTGCTTCAGCAGGGACAGGAGCAGCAGCAGCAGCAGCAGCAGTGGCAGCGATTGCAGCAAATGAAGCATCAGCCCCAGCAGGGAGAGGAGCAGCAGCAGCAGCAGCAGCAGTGGCAGCGGTTGCAGCAAATGAAGCATCAGCCCCAGCAGGGAGAGGAGCAACAGCAGCGGCTGCTGCAGCAACAGCAGAAAGAGCAGGATCAGCAGGAGAGAAAGGAAGGGGAAGAGCAGCATCGTAACCGTTCATCCCTGTTATAGGCATCTCCACCATCAATGATTCACATTTCAGCGCCATTGTGGGGCCCTGTGGTGGTGACACGTGTCACTCTCTTTGTCTTCCACGTGTCCAATGCTCTCGCCCTAATTAATGCTGCTCCTGTGAGTATAAATCAATGCATGTTTTAATTGTGCTTTTTTTTTTCGGATCGGAAAATACAATTGAACTACTATTGTTGTATTGGCGTGTACTGTACGGTTGCACTAGCGTGCATGTGTACATCCCTCTCAACTTGCTTCTACCCTCCCAATCTTGACTGTGCTGTTCCCTTTTCTCGCCTCAACTCTATGTAACGTTCCATTCTCTCCTGTGCCATTATTTTGTGCCGTAATTCCTTTCCTCCTTGCCTCCCTCTTTATAAGGCTTTCTCTTTCAGCCACCATGCCCTTAGCCTCCTCCTCCAAACCCATTCATCTATTATTTCATATGCCCCCTTCCCTTCCTTTTCCATCTTCAGATCTCCTTCTTGGATGGATATTCCATTCGATCAAACCTACAGCATCCTATTTCTCCTCCACCTTCCCCCCTCATTCCTCCCGTTCCCCCCTTCCCTTCCTGTTCCCTCGTTAGATTTTCTTCCTAGATGGAGAGGCCATTCTCTCGAACCTCCTCCGCCTGCTGCTCCCTTTTCCCTCGCATCCTCTCGCCTCACATCTGCACCTCTGGCACCAGCAACAGATTGCTCGACACCAATGTATTCTTTCTAGTGTCCTTTATGGGGGATCTTTCCTTCTTCTTGTCTCGCTTACTTCATCAACGATGTTTTTGCGTTTGTGACATACAAGCTGAAGATGCCATCATGATGTATTTACTTATCGTACAAACCTGCTTTGCTGTGCGAAACTTGTACGAGATACACAATCATGCCGTGTAACTAGGGCTAATGATTAAGGACATTATGCTTGGTGCACAATACTTATTCCTTATGTAACTAAGAACATAAGGAATAAGTATTGTGCACCAAGCATAATGAGTTATCCCTTGTGTCCGTTCACAGTTCAGTTGAAACGTCAATGCAATTACCGTAAGATGTTTCCCCAAGAAGAACCTTCTCTCTTGTAATTTGCTGTTCTACAAAGCACTGCGGCAAAATATGAAATGCAGATGCAAAAGTGTAGACAAACGCAAGAATTAGGGTGGACAACCCTTTGCCTCAAGCATTTGCTGCCGCGTTATCCGCAATTTCCATCGACGGACTTGACGCGCCCGTGTCAGGTGGTCAACCGGTTTCAACAGGCGTGACAAGTGGAGTTTCCACCTGCAATCTAAACTTCCAGCACGCCGTGACAATCGGTCGAGCATGTTGTGAATCGTGAATTGTGGCGTGATCCACTTTGCCCTCGCAGGTTGGGAAAATTGCAGGAAATCGAATTCGCCAGCCTCATCTTTACAGTAACCAGCGTCGCGACGCTCGCCGCTCCACCGTCGCAACTCCCTGGCCTCTGAAACACGGAACAGCGAAGCTCACGGAGTTCACCTGGCGCGAAAGTACATTTCCCGCCAACTATGAGTTCCAACCATTTCCTGTGTATACTTGTTGAGCAAGTGCGAGCCGCGTTCTCACCACCCTCCTATAAAACCACCCGTCCCTCCCATCGGTATCATCAGTTCTCATATCAATAATCATTCTCTGTTTGCTACGATTTCCTCTTCTTTGCTTCTCGTCATCCGTTCCTTTCGTTAGTTCGTTACACTTCGAGAAACGTTGGATTCACAATGGGTTACACGATGCGAGGCATATCTTTGCCGCTGCTGCTTCTCGCGCTTTTCGTAGCGTCAGCCTCCGTCGCGCCTGGTAAGATCCCGCGACTTGTATCACGGCCTTTTCACCAAAAACAGTTTCCTTCTCCCAGATGAAACTTCCGTTTCCTCGCACCTTCACCCCTTTCGCGCAGTTTTCTTTTCTGATACTCTGAATTGGTTTTGACTCTGTAAGATGTCGCCCGATTCTTCCGCGTTTTCTCCTTCTCGCGCAGTTTTTGGAAGGACCTTATCTACTCGTCGCAGCCTCGCCCTCAGGGCCCTCTCGCTCGTGAGCTTTCCGGGATCGTCAACCATTACTCTGCTAGCAAATCCCGGAGACACTGGCGGAGATATCGGCGGAGATACCGGCAGTGGTGGCGAAATTGGGGGAGGGGGCGATGCGGGGGAAGGCGGAGAACCTGGCGGACCTGGCGGAGACGTCGGCGGCGATCAGGGCGGTCCTGAGGGCCCCCCTGGTGGCGACAACGGGGATACCGCCAGTGGCGGAGATCCCGGCAGTGGCGGCGACGTTGGGGGAGGCGAGGACGGCCCGCCACCGATCGGCGCTGGCGGAAAGGGAGGAAAGGGCGGAAAGGGAGGGAAAGGTGGAAAGGGCGGAAATGGAGGAAAGGGCGGAAAGGGAGGGAAAGGGGGCAAGGGGGGAAAGGGAGGGAAACCTGGTAACCAGCAGGGTGGAGCTGGCGGAGAGCAGGGGGGAGCTGGCGGAGAGCAAGGGGGAGCTGGCGGAGAGCAAGGGGGAGCTGGCGGAGAGCAGGGGGGATCTGGCGGACAGCAGGGAGGATCTGGTGGAGAGCAGGGCGGGGCTGTTGAGGAGCAGGGGGGGTCAGGGGGGGCGGATGGTAGCCAGACTGGGGGCATAACGAGCACCGGAAAGGGCGGAAAGGGAGGAAAGGCTGGGAAGGGCGGAAAGGGTGGGAAAGGAGGGAAAGGGAGCAAGGGGGGAAAGGGAGGGAAACCTGGTAACCAGCAGGGCGGGCCTGGCGGAGAGCAAGGGGGATCTGGCGGAGAGCAAGGTGGGGCTGGCGGAGAGCAGGGGGGATCCGGCGGAGACCAGGGGGGACCCGGCGGAGAGCAGGGGGGATCTGGTGGAGGGGCTGGCGGGGAGCATGGTGGGGCGGATGGTAGCCAGACTGGGGGCACAACGAGCACCGGAAAGGGCGGAAAGGCTGGGAAGGGCGGAAAGGGTGGGAAAGGAGGGAAAGGGGGCAAGGGTGGAAAGAAATAAAAGCTTTTGCAACACATAGGTTGTACCACTGTTTCTTCTTGTACCATTATTGCAGCCAAGTCCATATATGCTGTACTTTCCGGAACCTTCGTGTAAGAATGCCAAAGCAGCCCTAGTAACCTGTGGTACTTGTGTCAGACGTCAGCAGTATGGACGCAAGCTAAGGTTTTTTTAGACTTTTGCATTTCCGGCACAAGCATCAAACTCGAATGCAACTTCTGTCATCATAGCCTTTTACCAACTCTTGCAGCTACTACGATGTTCTCGATGCGCACTTTCATTCTTGCGCCGTCACCAATCTGTCGCGACAAGAAACATCTACCAAGCTCTTGTAGCTACGGCGAGATGGCAAGCAGTACCATGCTACGAATTTCTATCTGACGGAAGATGTACGGAGTAGTGTCTGATCGGGATTCGGGAAGGCAGGCTTGGTTGGGTCAGTGTGCTGAAAAGTTTGGGGCGCGTTTTTGCAACGGCACAGCCTGTGTAACCCAGGCTGCTACCCACAGGGAATTACACGACGGAATGCGAAGCAGGTAACCTCGCAGGTCACATTGTCGGCTCATCCCAGCAGCGCTGGTTGCGAAGTGTGCGATTATTCAGCGAAGACGGGGATACCCCACACGTTGATCCAGCAATCATTCCATGCGGTTTAGAACGTTCTCGACACATCGCCGAAACGCTCTTCACCGCTTTGATTTGTGGAGCACCAGATCAAACCGTGGTGCGTGAGTTGAACAACGTGAGCGTGAGCGACATTCCCTAAGCGTCAAGCCGTATGACAGCTGCATCACCAATCAACAGTCACTTCGGTGATGGCTTGAAATTGGTGGTAGGATTTCTTATCCAGAACGCAACGACGATAAATCTTACTTAGCTCAGGTTGCTTTCTGAAATTTCACCATGATACGAGGCCTCGGTTACTGCACGGTGTGCGCATTCACGGCTTGTTAACCGCGTAGTATCACCGCGACGCGAGTGATCCGCATGGCCTTGTGATTGTGAATCCGCGACACCAACGTGTCGTTTTCCCGCCAGTAATGTCAGCGACATCTTTGGAGCGTCTTTCCCGTCGTCATTCTTCGCGAGTGCGAAATGGCGGTGTCTGCAGAGCTGGTTACCAGCATCGTCCTTTGGCTGCTGCTCAATCTTCTCGTTCCCCTGCTCTTCAAGGTACTACTTCCTTGACTTCTCAGATATATTTCTGACATCTCAGATGTTTTTTCTAGTTTTATTTAAGCGTCGTCTCGACTGACGACTGGTAAGCTGTTGTACTTTGGTTGCTGCTCAATCTCCGCGTTTCCTTTCCCCGCTCTTTAGGGTACTTACCAGACGTCTCAGATAAAAATCTCTTAGTGCAGTCTCTCAACCAGCGTTTAATAAGCTGCTTCGTTTTGCCGCTGCTCACCTTCTCGTCCCCCTGCTCTTTGAAGCTACAAAAGTCTGTTTCATTTGGCCGCGAGACGGATCCGATCCTCTTTTTCCCCCTTCTTTCTCTCTCCTTTTCACTCCCTTCGTTAGTAAGCTCATTCCCCCTGCACTGGCGCTGGCTGCGCGGAGGCAGGGGAAGGGGAGCCTCAGTTGCGTCAATGCGCCAATTCCCCACTACCCTTCTCCCATTCCCCCCCACTCCCCCCCACTCCCTGTCCGCCCTCCACCCTCCTCCTGCCCCTTGTCCTTTCCCCTAGCGCGCGGAGTTCTCTCTCCGCGCATCCCCCTTGCACTGGCGCTGGCTGCGCGGAGGCAGGAGGAGGGGGAGCCTCAAGCGGAAGCGCAGGGCAAGGGGAGGCGAATGCGATAGTAAAGGGGGAAGAAGTGCCCAAAGCAATGTGCTAATAAAGGGGTCGGAGGAGGCTTGGATAGCAGCGGAGAGGAGGATTGGGGGGAGAGTGGTGGGAGAAGGGGAGGGGCGGATGGAGGGGAGATGAGGGGGAGTAAGGGAGAGGTAGGGGGAAACGATGGGAGAGCACAGGGCGAAAGGGAGCGAGAAGGGGTTACCCTCACAAGTGGGGTTACATCTAGCATAGGGTAAGTTATACACCTTCTAGTTGAGTATATATATAAAAATATATACGTATATGACCTCCCCTCCCGCCCTCTCTCCCTCCCTCCCTCCCTCCCTCCCTCCCTCCCTCCCTCCCTCCCTCCCTCCCTCCCTCCCTCCCTCCCACCCTCCCTCCCTCCCTCCCTCCCTCCCTCCCTCCCTCCCTCCCTCCCTCCCTCCCTCCCTCCCTCCCTCCCTCCCTCCCGCCCACCACCAGGTACGGTCAGATCCACACCACGTGTTTCAACACGAGCACCTTCACATGCTTGAGGGCACCACAGAGTGTCATCCGTTTGCCTCCCTCCCTCCCTTCTCCCCATCCCTCCTCCCTCCCTCGCATCACCAGGTACATTCAGGTCCACACCACGTGCTTCAACCCTTGGCTAGAGCGGCTTCGCATGCTGCCTGCTAAGTCAGCTACCAAGAGGTGGGGCATTGGGTTGGGCTGTAGTTGAAATGCTTGATTTTCTCGTTCACTTCAGGGTGTTTCTTGTTTTGGCAATCCTTTTCTGTTCTTCATATTATGCCTAAACCTCAGCGCGCGAATAAAAACATACCCAAAAAAAAAAAAAAAACTGCACAAAGAGACAGAACCAAACAAAACCTTCCCTGGTTTTTCTTCATTTCGGGATGCTCCGTGCATGGTTCACATGGGGGGTCATTGCAGCCTCTGTATCATTGCATGGTTCTTTGTGTCTCGTGTAACCCTCAGTACTCCAACCGAACATCGCCACAAGCTAATATTTTCTCATGTGTCTCATCTCATCCCAGGATGCTCCGTGCATGGTTCACATGGGGGGTCATTGCAGCCTGCGTCGCCTTCCTATTGGCCTCTCTGGTGCGTGTGTGCATACAACCCTCCCTCATCTCTCCCCATTCGCATTCACATGGGGGGTCATTGCAGCCTGCGTCGCCTTCCTATTGGCCTCTCTGGTGCGTGTGTGCATACAACCCTCCCTCATCTCTCCCCATTCGCATTCACATGGGGGGTCATTGCAGCCTGCGTCGCCTTCCTATTGGCCTCTCTGGTGCGTGTGTGTGTGCACGAAACCCTAATTTTTTACCATTCTTATTCGCACGCGCTGGGACCGTCGAACGAATTTTGAGGCGCCTCAAACGTTCCCATTGTCATTGTGCGTAGGTGCCTCGAACGCTTCTATACGAGTGTATTCATGCCACTCTCAATGCAGCACGTATCGTATCGTATCTTATCGTATCGCATCGCCTTCATGTTGGCCCTCTGATTCGTGGATTGCATGCATCAAACTCGACAAATATTTATTTGTTTCATGCTTAGGTCCCCCCTCCCTTCCCTCCCTCCGTTCCCTCCCTTCCTTTCCCTCCCTTCCTTTCCCTCCCCAGGTTCTTCTATGGGACGGCCTTGTTGCTTCCCTCCTCGTCCCTCTCCTCCGCCACCTCTCCACCTCATCCCAGCACCTAGCGGAACAGCAGCGCTTTTACCCTCACACCCACTCTCACAACCACTCTCACTACAGTCACATCCCTTCTGCTGTAAACGCCTCTTTCGGACCTTCCTCTCCTGTCGTCGCCCTCTCTAGAGCAACGGGTGCTGCAGCGTCCCTTGCAGCACAGCAAGCGTCCCATGCAGCACAGCAAGCCGTCCAAGCAGCAGAGCCACACCCCGCTGCCCCAGCAGAGCCAGCAACGTCCGCCACTCCTGCTGCGACCTCTTCCTCCCTGCATCTTCTACAGCCTGTGGTGAGTGAGTGAGTGAGTGAGAGAGTGAGTGAGTGAGTGAGTGCTGAGGAGGGCTGGCACTGGCATTGGCACTGAAAGCGTGCCTTGCAGCACAGCAAGCTGTCCAAGCAGCACAGCAAGCTGTCCAAGCAGCACAGCAAGCTGTCCAAGCAGCACAGCAAGCTGTCCAAGCAGCACAGCCACACCCCGCTGCCCCAGCAGAGCCAGATGCGCATGCTGCACGGCAAGCAACCGCCCCTGCCTCTGCTGCGACCCCACCATCCTCGCTTCACGTGGTACAGCCAGTGGTGGTGAGTGAGTGAGTGGGTGGGTGAGTGAGAGGCGCATGCTGCAAGGCAAGCAACCACCCCTGCCTCTTCCTCTGCCTCGACCCCATCGTCCTCGCTTCACGTGCTGCAGCCGGTGGTGAGTGAGTGAGTGGGTGAGTGAGTGGTGGTTGGGTGAGTGGGTGGATTGAGTGAGTGAGTGAGTGAGTGAGTGAATGTGTGAGTGAGTGAGTGTTGAGGGGGGCTAGTACTAGCACTGGCATTGCAAGCGTCCCATGCAGCACAGGCACAGCAAGCCTTCCCATTCCAAGCAGCAGAGCCACACCCCACTGCCCCAGCTGAGCCAGATGCGCATGCTGCGCAGCAGCAGCTGGAGCAGGGATAGGAGCAGCAGCAGCACTGGCAGCAGGTGCTTCAGCAGGCAGAGGGGGAACAACAGCAGACAGAGCAGGATCATCAGGGGAGCAAGGGAGGGGAAGAGCAGAATCGTAACCATTCTTCCTGTTACCAGCATCGCCACCATCGATGGTTCAGATTTCAGCGCCATTGTGGGGCCCTGTGGTGGTGACACGTGTCACTCTCTTTGTCTTCCACGTGTCCAATGCTCTTGCCCTCATCAACGCTGCTCCAGTGAGTACCAATACTGTTTTCAACGAAATTTGACGAAAAAAGGTACTAGTACTGTAGCAATGATAAAAATCAAGGATATTTGCAGTAAAATCAAGGATATTTGCACTAAAATCAAGGATTCACAATGAAGTTGCAGGTGCCTGTGTACCCCCCTTCACTTGCTGGTACCATTCGCTGTCTACACCCATTTTGCACTGTTCCGTTTCCGTTTTCTTGCCTCAGCTTACGTCGCAATTCATGATCTCCGATGCTATTATTTTCTGTCATATTTCTTGTTCTCCTTGCCAACCTCATTTTAAAGCTCTCTTTCAATCACCACCACACCACCCCATTGGCCCCTCCTCCAAATTGACTTTTGAGTCGACTCAAAAGTCAACTCTTGTTCTCCTTGCCAACCTTATTTCAAAGCTCTCTTTCAATCACCACCACACCATTGGCCCCTCCTCCAAATCCAACTACCTAGTTCTTCATATGCCCCCTCTCATTCCTCTTCTCTTTTCAGTTTTTCTTCCTCGGTGGAGAGGCCATTCTCTCAAACCTCCTCCGCCTGCTTCTCCTGTTTCCCTCGCATCTTCTCACCTCACATCCACGCCTCCGACACCAGCAACAGATCACTCGACACCATCGTATCCTCACTAGTGTCCTTTACGGGGACACTTTCCTTATTTTCGTCTCCCTGACTTCACCTAATGCATCTATTTCTTCGTGCCCCCTTTCCCCCCTCTTCCCCCCCCACCCCCTCCCACCCTTCCGCTTCCCGCTCAGATTTTCTTCCTGGATGGAGAGGCCATTCTCTCAAACCTCCTCCGCCTGCTTCTCCCGTTCCCCTCGCATCCTCTCACCTCACATCCACACCTCCGACACCAGCAACAGATCACTCGACACCATCGTATCCTCACTAGTGTCCTTTACGGTGGTTCCTTCCTTCTTTTCGTCTCTCTGGCTTCATCCATACTTACTTCCCATACTTGAACCACTCAAAATCCCGAGTCCCAACCCACACATGTCATCAGGATGTATATGACCTGCTATGCTTTGTGGAACTTTTACGGGATGCACAATCATGCATCGTAACCAGGGCGAGCAAGTGGTGCTAGTAATGAGTATCAAACCTATTCTGTTCGCCCTAACTTGTGGGGGCACCGAGAGCCAAGCTGTGCTGGTAATTTGAAATGTTTCCACAGCTACCCTAGCTTTGGTAATTTGCTGTCCTAGCTAAGGACGGGAGCAAAATATGAAATAGAAATGACCGAGTGTAGAAGAGTGCAATTATGATAGGTACAGGTGCTTGGTGCTTTTTGCCGCAGCATTTGCTGCCGCATCATCCGCATTTTAGATCTGGGAGCTCGTCGCACCCATTGCAGATGGAATCAGGTCAACCGGTTTCAACAGGCGCGACCAATGGAGTTTCCACCTGAACTTGCAGCGCGCCGAGACCATCGGTCGAGCATGTTGTGGATCGTGATTCGTTGCGAACCACTTTGTCCTCGCACGTTGTGATTGGAATCCGTCAGCTCCATCGTGAGAGTAACCAGCGTCTTGACGCTCGCAACGCCACTATCGCAACTTCCTGGGTTGTGAAACACATGAACAGCGAAACTCACGGATTCCATCTGGCGCGACCCGCCAACTGTACATTCCAGCAATTTCTGTGAATGTTGTACAATGTTGTGCGAGCCGCGTTCTCACCACCCTCCTATAAAAACCACTTGTCCCTCCCATCCTAGTCATCAATTCACATTTTCATACTACCAAGTCAGTTGCCTAGCCACTCCCTGCTCGTTTCGATTTGCTCTTATTCGCTTCGCGTCATCCTCTCCTTTCGTTAGTTCGTTCCGCTTCGACAAGCACCTAATTCACCATGGGTTACACGATGCGAGGCATATATTTGCCACTGCTGCTTCTTGCGCTTTTCGTAGCGTCAGCCTCCGTCGGGCCTGGTAAGATCCCGCACCTCGTATCACCACTTTTTCACCAACATCAGTTTCCTTCTCCCGAATGAAACTTCCGTTTCCTCGCACATTCTTCTCTTTCGCTCCGTATTCTGTTCCGATAATCTTGATTTCTCTGACTCAATACTCTCGCTTTCTCTGCTTTTCGCGCAGCGTTTGGAAGGACCTTATCTCCTCGGCGCAGTCTGGCTTTCAAGCCCCTCTCGCTCATGAGCTTCCCGGGGTCGTCAACCATCACTCTTCTAGCCAACCCTGGCGGAGACACCGGCGGAGACACTGGCGGTGATACTATTGGAGACACGGGCGGAGAACCTAGCGGAGAAACTGGCGGAGAAACTGGGGGTCCTGGCGGAGACGCCGGAGGAGATCAGGGTGGTTCTCAGGGGCCCCCTGGCGGCGACAATGGGGGGTCCGGGGAAGGCGGCGATGGCGCGCCACTTATCGAAACTGGCGGAAACGGCGGGAATGGCGGGAAGGGCGGGAAGGGTGGGAAGGGCGGTAAGGGTGGGAAGGGAGGAAAGGGCGGAAAGGGAGGGAAAGGGGGAAAGGGGGGAAAGGGAGGGTACCCTGGTAACCAGCAAGGCGGGCCTGGCGGAGAGCAGGGGGGTGCTGGCGGGGAGCAGGGGGGATCCGGCGGAGAGCAGGGGGGATCCGGCGGACAGCAGGGGGGATCCGGCGGACAGCAGGGGGGTTCTGGCGGAGAGCAGGGCGGGGCTGGCGGGGAGCAGGGTGGGGAAGGGGGGAGGGGTGAGGGCCAGACCTCGGGTGCAACGAGCAGCGTTAAGGGCAGAAAGGCTGGGAAGGGCAGAAAGGGTGGGAAAGGTGGAAAGGGGGGCAAGGGTGGGAAGGGCGAGAAGGGTGGAAAGAAATAAAAAGCTGTTGCAATGGATTGATTGCGATATTACTTTCCTGCTCTTGTACAATATAATCAAGTACATGTTTTTTGTAAGCTTCTCGAGTTGAAAGTTCTTTGCGTTGGAAACGTCGCCACCAAATCTGTTGTATCTTGAGTTTTGGATGCAGCCGTAACTGTGTCGTCGAGTCTTCGTACCTGTACCCAGTTGTTCAATGGAATCTCCCCGCTGCATCAAAGCGAGGTGGTGAGCAGCACCACGCTTCGATAGCGTCGAGGCGAGATACTTCAGAAAAATCATGCTGGATTTTGTTTTTGGCGAGCAGAGAGCAGTGCTTTTTTTTACCACCAGCTGCGCTCGGCTTTCAAACCTTCAGTAGGTTTGATTCTCATGTTTGCTATTGGTTCTTATTACTAATTTGTTCAGGTTTCAATAGCGGGTTGTGGGTCATGATGACCTGTTCTGAATAGCTCATGGGGCCCAGGTCGACGCTCCCCTTTTACCTGGGCAAAGCAGGAGGTCGACGCAACCCCATGCGTCGGGGCTCACCCAACATACAGGAACAGTCATGGGGTTGTTCTTAGAACTTAGGAGGAGAAAAGGTATGTTGGATTAGGTCAAAGGTTGGGGTACAAGAAGAATGTCGAGAAAAATTGTGTACCCCCTACTGCTAACCCCAATAAAGCCTAGACAAACTATATATAACATATGTATATAACTTGACACACCCCCATAGGCGAAATGGGGGATAGCGAGAGCAAGCAAAGGTCACAAGACCAGTCAAGAGAAGAAACAAAACACAGCTCAGGGTGGATCACAAAGTCACCACACACACTGAGCACAAGCAAGAGGCCACAAGGCCAGTTCACATGCCGAGATGTATATGCAGCAATAGCACAGTGATCACTACCTAGCAAGAGCAAGCATGCAGGTATATATATATATATATATATATATATATATATATATATATATTTATCACAGTACAAGCAGAGTCTACAGCAAGTGTGGAAACGTAGGCACAAGGCCCAACAAAGTACAAAAGCGCTTATGATCACCAGACGGAAACGCCTTGGTGAATATATCAGCAGTGTTGGCCCGAGTGGCCATGTGAGCAAGACGAAGCTGACCCCGTTGCTGCAACTCTCGAGCTAGGAAGTAACGCAGAGCGATGTGCTTCGTTCTGTGCTCCAGTCTGTGCTCCTCACACAAGGCAATGGCGGCCTTGTTGTCGACGTACAGCACTAGAGGAGAACAAGGCCGCTCTCCCAGGTCGGTCAGCAGGTAGGTGAGCCAGCGTAACTCCTGTGCAGCCATGGCTGTGGCGTAGATCTCAGCCTCACAACTGGAGCTGAGAACTGAAGACGAGCGTGTAGAACGCCAAGAAACAGAGCCAGAGCCAAGGCTGAAGGTGTAACCCTGTGACGACCGCTGCGTAGCTAGGTCGTCAACCCAAGAAGCGTCTGAGTGCCCAGTGAGGACAACTGAGCTCCGCCCTCCAAGCACGAGCCCCATGCCCGATGTACTGCACAAGTAGCGTAGTACCCTCTTAGCAGCATCCATGTGCACCTTTCGGTGCCGACCAGGAGCCA